ATGTCCGTCCAGTCGCTGACCATCGCCGAACCACCGCCCGGCCGAAGACCGCCATTGGACTTCAGCTCGGCCACCACCGGACCACCGCCTAGCTACTGTTCCCCTCCAGACCTTCGTTGGCTCGTTCATTGTCAGCCAAACTTCTGCACGAAAGCTGTCGTATTTTCGTCTGACCGTCATCGATCCTTTGACTGACTCTTCAAATTACTGTAATCTGACCACCTCTAAATCGAGGGACGGGTCGACCCTTGTAATTCACTCAAGTTTGGTGGAATCTTTTCACCTGGGCGATGCCCCGTGGTTTTTCCCTCTTCGGGTTTTCCACGTAAAAAAGATCGGGTGTCTTGATCTCTCTCTTTCTGCTTGCGTGATGGATCTTCGTACAATGCTAAAAAGCTAAACAAAATTTCTCTATCGTCGCGAATATTCTTGGCCGCAACAATTTTCATACCTATAAGAAAAATTTAATAATAATATTTGAGAAAAAATAGGTAGCAAATTATGAATTTAATAAAAAAAAAATTGAAAATAAAATATTGGTAATAGTTTTGAGTATATTAATATATTTAGTATTTGGTTGGCATTCACATGAATGAATAAGGGTCTGGCTCTCAGAACCCAACAGTTGGGATAAAATTTCGTGCATAAATTGAATAAAATCTTTTGTCCAATTGTGAGTGGTGTCAGTTATGCAGCTTTTGATGCCCGCTTTTTTTTTTTTTTTTTTTTTTTTTTTTTTTTTTTTTTTTTTTTTTTTTTTTTTTTTTGGTTTTTTTTTTCTCTTCATTTGTTTGATGCACGCTTTTAAAAGTAGCTTGAGCAAGATGTATAAGCTTTGATAATATCAAAGTTAGGTTTCGTTTGGGACAGTTTTCTTACTGATGCTTTAAGAAGTAATAAGAAAATCGTTCATTCAGGACAGCTTTCTTATTATTCCTTAAAGCAGTTTTCTAGTATAAAATTTTCTTGAACTGAAATTTTTTATATTAAAAAGTTGTTTTATAAAGCAATAAAAAAGCTGTCTCAAATGAAACATTATATTATGTCTTGGATAACTTTTAAGCTTCGTTTGGGACGACTTTTTTACTGCTTTCTAAAACAGAGTTTTAGTACAAATTTTTTTATTTTTGTATTAAAACTCCGTTTTAGAAATCAATAAAAAAGCCGTCTCAAATGAAGCCTTAGTTATGAAAGTAGTAAGAAAACTATCATAAATGAATCTTTAATTCTATTAGAAAGAAGTTTGGAGATGACTTTATATAAGGTATTGCATAAAAAGACGGGGATGATCAAAGCTTTGGTTATCCTTAAGCTTAGTTTGTGATGACTGTAGTTTGTTCTAAAATTAATTATGAAGTTGAGTGAGGAAAGCAACTTAGATACTCTAGTGGTAAAAAACAGTTTTTCATCATGAAAATTTTTTTAAGAACAACAAGAAAGCGGTATCCAAACTTATTAAGGCTTCGTTTAGGACATCTTTCTTACTGCTGCTTAAAACAGCTTTCTAATACAAAAGTTAAATTTTTTTACTAAGAAAATCATTTTAAAAAGCAGCAAGAGAGCCGTCCCAAACGAACCCTAAGACTTCATTTGGGACAGCTTCTTTGCTGCTTTCAAAAACTTCTTTCCAATACAAAAATTTCTTGAATTATTGTACTAAAAAAAAGTTTTATAAATAGCACCCAAATAAAACCTAAATTATAATTATTATCTAAAATACAAAACATTAAATCTCACCCTAAAGCTCCATCAAAAATATTAAAATTTTAGAGGATATAAAGAAAACTACATAATCATAATGAATTGGAATAAACTATCTATCATTAATATATATAAAAAACATAGAGTTGAACACATTATGACCTTTTCCAACAAGCTGCTTATCAATCTAAATTAATAAAACTATATAAATTTATTTTCAACAGTAAAATAAAGCATCATAACAAAATTAAAAAATAATAATAAATAAATAAATAAATAAATGTTTCAATCCATGCAATTACCTAATTGATTAATAAATGATGGAGGAGAAGATAGCTGTCCCTATGTCATGGTGGTTGCAAAAGAAGCAAGCCAACAATTTATCACAGGAGTCATGAATTCTTTGATTGCGTGAAGGGAAAAAAGAGAGACCACTAATGCAATGTATTCAACAAAAGTACTCATAACAATTATTTATTTGTTGGACAGCTCTGATCAGTTAGTTCATTCCAAAGACTTTAGGTTATGGCTGCAGGGATTTTAATTCAAATATTTGACTTGATCAATTGAGTTCAAATTGAGCTTCAAAAGAGCTAAATCAATTAAAAAATTGAGCCAAATTTTTGGTTTGGTCGCATTTTCGAGATAATTTTGAGCTAAAACTTGAATTTAATGTGTCGTCAGCTTAAATTCATTGACATTGTCGTTAATTGCTTGTTGCAGTCGCCATCATGGACCACCTGCCACCTACCACCGCTAGCGATTACCTGACACCGTTTAGTCCAGACTATCACCATCTTCAGACTTAAGATTTTATTCATGTTACTTTAAGCCAAAAAAAAAAAATCACTTGTATTTATTTTACACTCATCCAAATAACTCTAAAGTATTTCAAATACAATGCATTCTTTTTTATAGTGCATTCCTTTTATGCTGCATTTTTTTTTCAACCAACCAAATAGCCCATAAATAGAAGAAATTATTCTGTGTTGAGGCCGGAAGCAAAATGTCATCCGGAGACCAATCAGAATGCGCAATGTCAAAGGTACAGAGCAATACCGAGCCAAGGGGTGACATGACGCATTCTGGCTGATCTCCAGACATCATCCTGTGTCTGCATAAAATAATTAATCCCTAAATAGACTTATGTGTTTGATTCGTTGTCAAGTTTGAATTGATTTGAAATCAAATCATTATTTACAACTTTAGACTTTGTTAGTTAAACCATCTTCACTATCTTCATGCAATCATTGATTAATTATTGTTTGTTATTAGTTTGAGAATTTTACACATTTGGTGGTTGGAAATTGCATTATTACATTAAAATAATGAATGTTGCAAAATTATATTCAAAATGTCTCATTTTTCTTTAAGGGGTGACAAGAATATATAGCTTGGTGATGAAACCAAACAACCTAGCAGTTAGAGTTTGTTGATGTAGTCATATTTCCTTTCTATAATTGTAGCGTATTTGTCAAGCCATGCTGGATTTATGTAGCATGTTATGTTGCGGATGGATTGTAGGCAGTGACGCAGTCAGAAATTTTTTTTAAATGGGAGCATAAATGAAAATTTTTAAATATGCTCTCAATTTTTTTGCATTCGTGAAATAAATATATTTAATTTTTTTTATTTTAAAAAGATAAATATAAGATGATAAAAAATTTACGAATTATAAAATTTAGTCTTCAAATTCTGAAAGAATTGAATAATTACTTTAATATTAATACAATCGAATATTTTTTACTTAATATAAGTGATTAAAATATCATTTATCTACTGATATCTGATTCTATTTTTTAGTCAATTTTTTTCTAATTTTCATAGTAAAGAACTCGATCTTTTATCTGATATTATATTAATCTTAAAATAAATTCTATGATTTTTTAATTTATTATGATAAAATTTTGATTAGTAAGAAAAAAAAATGAAGCTCAATTGGTTTATTTGAAAAAATACATTAACTAAACTAAAATTATAGATGACACTTAGGCTTCGTTTGGGACGGCTTTTTTATTGCTTCTTAAAGCAGCTTCTTTGTAAAAAAATTAAAATTTTTGTACTAGAAAGCTACTTTAA